TTTTCACGATTGACAGGGTTGATTTTCACAGTTCTTCACAACAGCTGCGGGCCATAGAATGAGGAATGTGTTTGTTTCAAGAAGTTATGCGTTCGATTTATGTTTAGGAGCGAGGATTGTCAACCGATTGAGGGAGAAGGTGTTTAACTCGATAATGAGTCAGGAAATAGCGTTCTTCGACCGCACGAAAAGCGGCGAGCTGATTAACCGACTGAGCAACGACGTGTCGTCGGTTGGCTACGCGACAACGGTGAACATAAGCGATGGACTGCGAGGCGTTGTTGCGGCCGTGGGCGGAACTACGATGATGGCACGTAACGTTTTTATTCATTTTTACTTTACCGTTGCGAATAAAGAAAAATTGTTTTTTTAGTTTTGTGTCTCAACCAAATTGGCGCTAGTCGGTATTTCGGTAGTACCACCTGTAGCTGCCGTGGCGGTCATGTACGGTCGCTACCTGAAGCGGCTCTCTCAGGGCACACTCGATGCCCTGGCGGCGGCAAACGAGGTGAGCGGTAAAACCGGACGTGAATTCGGCTGTTTAGTTTTTTCTTGTTTATAATACAAGCATATATGTTTTGGATAAACTTAGGTGGCCGCAGAGAAAATCAGCAACATTCGCACGGTCAGGGCTTTCAACGGCGAAACCTTCGAAGGTAAGCGATACGCCGCAAGGCTGAAAGAAGTGCTCACTTTCTCGTACAAAGACGGCTTCGCAAACGGACTATTCTTCGCCTTCGTAAGCTTTTCGTTTAACGTATAGGGCTCAGCCACAGTTTAAGTTGCGAACGTTCCGTAATATTGAATAAATTTACATGATTTCTTTATGCGGGAGACGATATGACGCTTCGGTGAGTCACAAACAGAAAGACAGCGCATGAATCATTCTTTAATTAAGGTTATCTGACGTTTCGTACCATGCTCGGTCTATCTTCAGATTACAATGAGAGTGACACGACTTGTTTTCATGATTATTGGTGCCGTGTTTGCTTTCTGGTCGTAAGCGGCCGTCTGATGTTTGTGCCCAATTATTTGATTAATATAATCACTAGCAATATGTACTTTAAATTTCATAATGTAAGGTAAAGACAGCGTGGCCATATCTTAATGAGTTCTCCTGTTAGCTTCGTCGTAGCCGGAATCTACATGAATCATCTGAAATTCAATGCCCTAATTTTCTCTGTTTCCCCATCTGATGCCTTCATCTTATACAAAATATGTAGATGAGATTTTCATTTTGCATGATAATCCAAATATGCTTATAGTATTCGTTTCAGAGTACGAGCACAGTAATAAAATGGCGTTCTTGACGTTCACATTAAACGAGACGTAAATGGTCCATTCTCCTTCATAGAATGTAAAATCCATGACACCTTAACCGTTAGCTCGACATCTCGTCTTACACTCCTAATTTTGTCTTCATCAAAATCAAGAAATGTATAGGTCATAGGGCTCTAAGTTATTACGCACAAGACCGACTCTTCAGAAATGAACTGAAATCTCTTTCATAGACGTTTCTTAAAAGCGGATACATCTAATATTTAAATGGTTCTGTATTTAAACTCCAAAACTTGGTACCATACCTCTTTTAATTGTAATCCTCTGATGTCCATACGTTACGAACCAGGCATATCTGAGGAAATTAAAGGATATTTAGTAATGTTGGAGTACATACAACATTGGGAAACCTGTTGTATCATGAAGCTGGATATTCGTCCGTTCTTGGAGAGTCATAACTTTTTCTATAAAATGGCAGGCGATAATTCTGTACCCATTTATATTGGTAAGACCTGTCGAGCTTTAAAAACTAGATTAATGGAACACAGGAGAGTTATTAGGCATTGTAGCGCTGAACATTCCGGTTTGGTTGCCGTGCCCCCAAAGCGATGCCACAGCGGTCTATCGACGCAGCAACAAAAAGAAATTGCTAATCAAGGAGTCGCTTCACATTGCAGCCAGCAAAAATGGAACTTTTAACGGTTGTACCGGCTCTTTTTACATTTCCCTGGAGTAAAGTTTGATTCATTAGTGACTGGTCAGTTTTCTACAAGTGCGGGTCAAAAGCAAACTGACCCAACAGTTGATCCCTAATTGTTCGTTCCTTGCTGATGATCGAAGCCAGTTCGGTCGCAACGCTAGAATACTTATAAGTAAAAAGTTATTCTTGTTTTTCTTGCTGCCAGCCATGAATCAGAAAACCTGCTGGCTTCAGGTCATCCATGACAGTGTATGTATGCGACAGAAATTATTTGTTAAATATATGCTTAGACGTTAGATCGTTTTTGTCGTTAGTTTTCGTATTAACCTGCCGTATATCGCTTCATACTGCATGCAGTTTCATATTTTGAGGGGATTCAGTAGTCTTCAGAAGAGGCTATAAAATTCTACTGTTGGGCCTTAGGGGTTATGGTCGTTTATTTTCTAATGAGGTCATTTGCGTCATAATATGGATTATCTTGTCATGGCATGCGATCTAAAGGCTGATCGAAGTCATTTTCGATTATGTACGGTGTTTGGGATTGCTGCTTCTTGGATATCTAATCCATAGGGTTTATCCGATTGGCGGCTTTCACAAAACATTGAAAAAAGCCTTTAACAACCAAGGAGAATAGCGAACTGTAAAGTGCTTCAATAAACAGAGAGTTCCATGTACTCTATACATCCGATGGTATGGTAATGATAATTTTATGTAAACGAATATTAAGTTAGCGAGAAGCTTTCCTCGTTTGGTGGCTGTGGTCGTTTATCGTTTGCCGACGATTATTTTTTAGTTTAGTCTTACTTTTAGAATGGTCTGTCAGCGAATATTCTGATGGTTGTTATCCTTTATACTGGAAGCGGCCTCGTCTGCACCGGCGAGATCACGATCGGGGCCTTGTCATCGTTTCTGTTTTACGCGGTCTTTGTTGGAGTGTCGTTGAGCGGTAAGTGAT